CCCCAAAACCCCAAAACCCCAAAACCCCAAAGACAAAAATATTGAGAAGGTATTAAATTAAAACTATTATAATAATTAATATAAAAATGAGTGGTCCTGCTCCAATAAATGCAACTTCAAATATAGTTGCTTCTTCTCAGTATTCTTTAAACCCTATTGGAATGCTAGCAACTTAAAATATTTCTTCAAATAAGCATGTTGGTGATACTGTTTAAGGTTCATTTATATAGCAGAATCCGAATTCGACTATACTTTTAAACCCACCACCTACATAAAGATCAGTGGCTGAAGACCTCCTTAAGCCTACAAATACTATTAATATAGAAGAAAATAGAAAGTTGTATATCGGTAAGATTCCTAAAAATGTTTCAGACGATTTCTTGGAGAGACTGTTCAGATGCTGTGGGTAGCTTCTCAGCTGGAAAAGGTCGACAGATGCTAATGGTGAACCTAAGGCTTTTGGATTCGTAGAATATGAGAACATCGAGTCTGTTTTTGCCTGCCTAAAAATTATCAATAACTTACCCTTACTAGAGTCTAGATTAATGGTAAAAGCAAACGATAAGACCAATCAGTTCTTGAATGATTGGAAAGAGCTTAAAAAAATGGACTGGATAAGTTAATAGGAGAAGGCAGGAAATACAATCGATAATGAAGATCTGGAGTATAAAGAATAGTTAGGGGAACTAATGCCCTATGAATAAGAGTTAATCCCAAGCTATGATGATGTTATAATAGAAATCAACAAGACTATTGAGAATAAAGACATAATAGAATAAGTTGCGCTTCAATAGAAATAAAACGATACTAATCCATTAGCTAAGGCTAATCTTTTTGACAGTGATCCTTTTAGTAAATACAAGGAGCATGAAAGAGAATAAAGAAGAGAGAGAAGAGCCAAGAACATCGAAAAAGAGCGGGAAGCTAAGTTTCTCAAGAAAGTTGAAGAATGGCTTCTAAGAGAAGTCAACAGAGAAAAAGAGAAAGAAAGAGAGGCAGAACGCGAGAAAGAAAAGCTTAAAGAGAGATAAAAGCTAATTGAACTAGATTTAAATTATGACTCTGGAGAGGAAAAGAAGCGCAGAAAAAAGAATCCCAAAGAATACTAGAGGTATCTTGAGGAAAGAAAAAGAATAAGAGATAAAGAGTAGGAGGATGACGAAGCTGATAGGAAGAAGGAGGCTGAGGAAATGATTGAACTTGAGAAGAAGAGAGCTGAGGAGCGAAGAAAGTAAGAAGAACAAAGAAAGCGAGAGGAAGAGATTAGAGAGAGACTCAAGCTTAAAAGATTTATGGAGTTAGAAGAATAGGAGAGGTAAAGACAGAATGAAGAGGATAATCTTAAAAGGCAAAAAATTCATGACCAAGCAGCTTCTGAGCATTAATCAGGCAGAGCTCAAATGCTTCAAAATTAGATGGGTGGATAATAAAACCAAAATCAATAATAGTATTAGGACAATTATAGCTATCAGTAGTAGCAAATGGATAAATATAGTCTCTAAAGATTTGGAGATCAAACTAGATAAAATGCATTAGGAAACGCTGAAGAGTACAAAGCAGACTATGAGAACTATCAGATGAAGAAGCATAAGCCACTGGCTAAACTATCTGAAAACATTGTTTAAAATATCAGGAATATAGAGTCAGAAGTAAGATCTAAAGGCAGTAGACATGATCGAGATGGAGAAAGATCAAGAAGAGAACAAAAAGTGAATCTTAAGGAATACCTTGAGGATGACGAAAAGAAAAAAATCCTTGAAAAGACCAAGGAGCTTTATGCCAAGCTACCGAAGACAAAGGAGGATATCTTTAAATTCTAGCTGAATTGGAATAATCTGTTTATGCATGATGTGATTGAAAAAGTTGGAAGACCTTGGATTGGCAAAAAGGTGAAAGAATATATGGGTGTTGAAGAATAGGCTGTTGTTCAGCTGATTATTAAAATTTTGAATTAGAAACCTGATCATATTGGCTTGTAATCTAAATTGAAGGATATCTTGGATTAGAAAACTGAAGAGTTTGTAATGAAGCTTTGGTAAACTATGGCTTTTGAATGTATGAAGGTCGATGAAGGACTTTATAAAATGAATTGAATTAGATGATCTTGCAATCAATAAGTCATAAAAATAAATTAATTAAAAAGCTAATAACACTCTATAGCTCATTTGAATTTAGATTTCGGGGTTTTGGGGTTTTGGGG